TAATTTTTTAAACTTCTGTAGTTTATAAATCAATCATGGTTTAAACGTATGACATTTACAAAGATTCTCAGAAACATTAAGCAGCTCAGCATGAGTTCTGGCCTGCTAACTTACCATGATACCCTCCTGTATGAGCATGACCCCAGTACCATTAAATTAAATTGGCAATAGAATTAGATCGGTATTTGACATCCCTCAACAGAAAATACACAAGAACCCAAGAGATGCTGCAATGTTTTAGAAACCGAGTATCTCATTCTATTATTAGGTTCAGTTTGGAAAAATACTGCACTCAGTGGACCTCACACGGCAGAATGCAATGGTTGTTTAATAGTATGTACCTTGTCTGATAAGCTTAATTCAGTGAATGATAAATAGCTTGCAACCTACCTTTTTGCAAATAAAAAGTGACGGAATTACATAAATGTGAGCTATGGCTAAGTCACACCTCCCCCGAGTTAATAATACACACCACAGCTCAATCTTTGGCATGTAATTATGGAAATAGTTTATCAAGTGAACTGTGTGCACGGTTGAAAAACATCCTTGAGCAAAACCTTGAGCTGTGTGCCTTTTTTAAATCATAGTCCATAGTGACTCTATAATAATAATCTCCCATTATTCTTCCCATCATCATTAATATCTGAATAACTGCTTGACTATATTTGTGCTTAGTTGTAATTTATTTTACTATAATGTATTTGCTGTTTTTTTCCAAGGTCCCCTAATACTGGTATTATTCTTCTTAACATTTCTTCGCTTGTTTTGAAAATCTGTGTGTTTAGCTTGTGCAAAACATCCACTCTGTACATAACCAATTAAGCCTCTCACAGTAGAGGTGACATTATTTGATGTCTTATATTGAACTGAAATACTGGAATCATACTTCCTCTGCCAAATTATTAATTTCTTATAGCAGTGTGTGTTCATAATGTGATCATACTCTTTCCTAGAAAACATTTTTGCAGTATTTGCGTTGTAACCAGAAAATATTCATTAAACATCTTGTTTATGATCATTTGCCTAGTAATTCCTTTGGGCCAGTTTTAAGTGTGGTGTGCTCTAACAGCACTGATGATATTTGTAAATCTAGATGGGATTTCAAAACCAAAACATCTTGACTTTGAAATGACTGCTAACCCCAATTGGACAGTAGTAAGTTGCAAATAAAAAGTTTGCCCTCTGCGTAAGCTCTGCCAGTTCTTAGGTTGACTTTTTGCTGAATCTGGGTGAGTGGATGGTTCCTCTGATGCATCCTTCCAGTCAGCAAGTGGCATTGATAGCTGTTATGCAGAAGCCATGATCCCAGGTTGTTCTGTCATTACCCCATGGCAAGGAGCAGTGAGACAGAGATAAATATAACTTAGTGCAGCCAGTGAATTTTAGCTAACCTCCAGGGCTGTGTGGTCCTTGATCTCCTAACAGGTTTGATTGCTCAGTATGAGGGCCAGGTGAACAAAAGCCAAATAAGATATGCTTTTCTGTAGTAAAACATAATTTTTACTACATATTTATTGTGTTTATTTCTGCCTACAGTTACTGCAATTACTCATATTATTCCCATGGGTCCTAGTCAGAAGTTAATAGATGCATTTTACTAATGGAAAATTAAGTAGAGCTACTGACAGTTAGGTTTATAAATATGTAAAATATAGTTTTAATTATTTCAAGTGAAAATGGCAGGAAATCAATAAAACAAGACGTGACAAACATACAATTGACATCCACTATTGTTAAAAGATAAAGACTTCCTGTCAGCAGAGGGGTTTCAAATTAATATTCTTTGATTGTGAATTGTAATCCATTTCTCATTAGTAAGATCTAAGAAGATACAGATCAAGAAGAACTTAATTTCTCGAATTTGTTTTGAATTTTTAAATGTTTCTGCATTTTACATATCAAATGTTTTGCTGAATTGCTCTCACTCTACAGTATTTATTGAATACGTGATTTATAAATTTAATGTACAGAGCTATTCACCATATATTTTCAAATATTGAAGAATCATATTTATCCTGTGAATTGAATCAGCTAGAGATTGCTGGAGATTTAGATATATTATTTAGTCTAAAAGATGAAGTTAAATTGCTTATTATAGGCTGGTTTTAAATTTATTGCACGGCCTTGCTCCTTCCTACCTCTGTGACCTGCTAACCCCATATCAACCTGTCCGCTCCCTCCGCTCAGCAGGCTTTGGTCTGGTCCATTTCCCCCGCTCAGCTCAACCCACGATCGGCGGTTGGGCCATTAGCTTCTCTGCCCCCAATCTTTGGAACTCCATCCCATAGTCCCTTTGGCTTGCTCCCTTCCTTGCCTCCTTCAAGGCACGTCTCAAGACCCTCCTCTTCGACTGTGCCTTCGGTTACCCTCCTAACCCTACCCTCCCTGCCCTCCACCCCTCCTTATCCTAATCCCAAACTCGGGTCCAAATCCCTGACTGTCCAGCGTCTTAGGGACATCCTCCTATCATGAAAGACATTCTACAAATGTAATTTGTTGCTGTTTATTACTGTACACCCCACTAGTGTTCCATTGGCCACCAGGTCACTAATTCCAGTCAAGAATTGGAAGCTGTTGAAATTTCTCTTACCATTCAAGGCCATTCTGCTCATCTGATTACACCCCTACAGAGTATCCACCCTACTATCCTCCTATCACAGTATCAATTTAAATGAGAGCAGTGTCCTGCCCTCAGTCACCCCTCCTGGTAATCTGTTCAGGGTCATTAATTACCCTCCGGGTAACGGAAAGTTTTCTGGTGTCTGTCCTGAAATTTAGCAACTCTAAACTCTTGCTACTCTTGCTTTACTAGCTTGGTGATTCCTACAAAGCACTCTATCAAATGCAAGGAATATTATTAATTTAAATTTGATTTATGGCTCAATTCAGTATCTAACAAATGGTGCAGCATGCCTCCACTTATTAAATGCCAAGCTTCTTTTGGAGAATATAGATAATGTGTTTTCTGTCAAAGTATATCTGTCAAATGAATACAAGTGCAGCAGTGTCATTTTTATGTAAAGCACAAACTCATCAACGGTATACATCAAATCTGCCTGTTCACCTTTTCAATCTTCTTTGTAACCTAATAACAATGATGGTCACTGATAATATTAGGGCAGGAGAGTGCTGTAGATCCATTGAAGATGTGTGACATTTGCAAGTAGGCTGTCGTGGGCTGATTTTTAAAGTACAAACTGGTTTGAAGCCACCACCAATCTTTGGGAAGCCCTGATTCGTCCTTACAACCGGATAGCACTCAGTAATTCTGTAGCATTCCACTAGCAATCAAATACTGGAAGAGAAAAAGTAACACTGAAGAGAGAAAGATACATGTCTGTGATTCCAATACACCATCCATAGCATTTGCTGCTTTCCAGTGGTTTATTTTGTCTGTTTATATTGTAAATGGCACAAAACAAAATGATAGCACAAATTTGCAGGGGGCACCTTGTTTCTATGTAAATACGAGCGTTAGCACACTATTCAAAGATTCACCAAGCTGATTTTACCGCAACGACTATCAGTGGTAATTCAGGGAACTAGATTTGAATTGTAATATCCAGCCCGATGTTCTTTGAAGGATCCACTGTCATCCTGGTTGGAAAGCGAGTGTTGAATGCTGGGCATTGCATTCCATCCTGAGGCCTGGAATTAGAATTCATAAAAACACTCTTACTTATGCCTGTGATCCCAAATCAATTTTGTTTATTAAAATTGAAGTTGTTTAAGTATACGACCAATTACAAAATCAAGTTCCTTGTTTCCTATTGGCATCAAAACAATGTTTCCATCTACCTGTGGCTGTCCTTGTCTTAAAAGCAGTTCACCTTGAGTTATCTGACAGTCCATCTCCTCATGTCTTCCCTTGTTTGCCACCTTCAGAAAGACTAGCACACAGTATTTGGGTCACAAGAAAGAGTACTCATCAATTAAATGTACGATGGTATTTTTTTGTCGAATGAACTAATATGTCAAGGAGATGGGCAGGACCTCATGTTTGGGCTTTTGACAAATCAGCAAATGTTTAATCTCAAGATGTGCAGGTTCTCATAAATAATGCAGCGATTACTGAGACAGAACTCTAACTGCGTCGATGTTTTCGCAGTGACCGCAGTCGAGTGGTGGGGGGGTGGAGAAAGGGAACTAAATCATTTCCTTTTATGTGACTTCATAAGAGTCTATGTTTTAGGTAAATGATTTATTCTATATGCCAGGATTTTTCCATCAGACCTATGGTTAAACTCTGAATAATTCCATCGTTAAAGTTATGTATCAACATTCACTTTGTCCTTTTGCATTGTCTTCTGCTGTGTCATTGATACAGCACTAATGGCTGTGTTTTCACTTGTGCCACTTTGGATGTTTTTGTTTGTGTTTTATTACTAAGCTACAAATTAAAACAATGTTGCTCTATCGTGTGAAAATGCATTAATTTGTTTTGGGAGATTACCACTTGCACGATAAATTATTTTTCGGATGTGTTGTTCTGTTGCAATGCATAAAGGAATCATTGAAAACATAGATTCGCAACACTGTACACTGTGGAAGTGTTAGGCTCCTTAATGGCCTGATTCTCCATCCTTTGCTCTTTACTTGGATCAAAATCTGTTACCTTTTGGGCATATGTAACAGTGAGCTATGTAACAGAGTATAAAATGAAAACATTTAGTTAATGAGAACATTTATGACTGATTTAACCCAAAATTAGTGGCCCAATAAAATTAAAGACTATGGGGATTCAATTTGCAGTATTCCAGAAATTCTGTGTATGTTTTTAATTTAGTGCTGGCATCGTACCAGAATTCAAATGAATTTCCTTAAGAATAGGTTTTTGGAATAAGGAATTTGTGTTTTAATTCTTTGAATGACAATTAAAATACTTTTCATATTTGCATCTTAGCTGGTTCTGGTTTTGAAAATGCTCATTAATTTTTAATATGTAGATTCATCTCTGTATGGATATGTCATACTTAATAAGTTTTGGGTTTGTTTTGCAGGCTTTAGGAAATCTTTACTTTCTTCATGAGTCTTTGAAAAACACCTATCAATTTGATTTTAAAGGTAAGGTTTACACAGATCTATTTTAATATAACATTGCTGATGTTGCAGGGCCTGATGTTACCTTTACCATCAGCACTATGTTAATAGAAACTTTCTGTCTTATAATAATAATAATAATCCTTGGATTTGATATAGCACTTTTCACATCTTCTAGACGTCTCAAAGCGCTTCACAGAATATAGTGTAAAGTGAATTGACTGTATATTTGTGAGCAAAATGCGGCAGCCAAATTGCACACAGCAGCGTCCCACAAACAGTCATGGATTGAAGTGACCAATTTATTATTGTTTTTTTTCTTGAGGGATTATTATTAGGCGTGTGGAGTAAGGAAACTTGCCCAAGGTTTCGCCCTGCCGCAAATCGAACCCAGGTCTCTCGCTTGAGAGCCGAGTGCTCTAACCACTGAGCTACAGGACTCCACAATGATTAGCACTTATTTCCACTTGGGGAAATAAGTCCTCTGCATGATATAGCATCATAGGGCTGAAATTGCACTCATTGTTATATATATGGACTTCGGCAATGCACTATTATATTGGAGAAATCCTATTAGCAGCAGGCATCATCAATACCATCACGTGTAATGTCTACCGAAAATTAAGCCATATGTTGTTGAGTGGTACCAGGCTTGTATTTACCTCTGTCATACATTTGACCAATTCAACACACAATGCCACAAAAGAATAACTCAAATCGCAGATCAAGTTAAAAATACGATAAGATTAATTCTTTGTATGAGTATTGGTTGAGTCATAGTGTATTAATAGCTCTGCCCTGCTTCTTCATAAAGTTTTTATGGCACGCAGTATTAATTTACAAAATACTGATTTCATATATGATGACGCTGAAATGCTTTTAAGCAGTGCTGTACAACGTATGAAATTAATTGTTGCCGCACTGTTACCTTAACATTTTCACTTAAGTAATTTTGTTATGTGAGGTTGGGTAGCATAAATTGAAAACAATTTACTGATCCAGGCAGAATTTACTTGTTATTCACTCCAAACAGACACATTTCCAGATCTTAACTAAGTGCTTAAATGTGCAATAGCAATTCAATTAATTTTTTTCATTGTTCAAGGCTATGAATAGAGTCATTCTAGCATGTTAGTTATCTTTTGCATGCTACAGTCTCCCATAAAAGATCAGGCTTTGTGTGCGATGAAGTGTTCAATTTAGATTCAGCTCCACTGTGTGTAGTTAAATGGGCTGAGGTACAAATGTTACAGATTGGTCAGATGGAATCTGTAGAAATCCTGATCCAAGCAGAACATGGTTTTCTTTCTTTACAAAAGGAAGAATATACCTTCAGACCAACTGTACAATGTAATTGGAAGCTCTTGGATAAAAGAGGAATGCAACTATATTAAACTGCGGGGAAAGGAAATTGCAGCCACCGTGTTTGCTTCTGGCTGCTGTTCAGTGGCTCCTGCTGGAAAATGCATTTTGTCTGATCATTGGATGAGGGCAGGATCTGGCTTACCTGTGATGTCCACATGGTTGGTTAGCTGGACAGCACTCACTCTCCCAACAAACACATGAACAATAGCCACTTGAGAAAACTACCAGAGAGCAATTAATTCCCTTGGAAATATACCCCAATGACAAACAGCAGCTTCAAGAGATGAGGAGAAGAAGAAAAAAAGAGAAAATTGGCACAAAGAAACTCAAAGAATAATGAATGAAATAGTTGGTGAAGTTGAGTCTAAATTAAGATACAATTTCACGCAACTGTTTTAATAGCTGTAAACTATAAACTCGTCAATCTAATTATATATTTGTTTCTTGATGGTAACTCAACTAAATGCTCAGGAAGAAACTAGGTTAACAAAATAGATGTTTTGATTCCGTAACAAGTGGTTATCAGTGTAGCATAGGATAGGTCTAGCTTTAGGAAAGGTTAGATAATGAAGAGAGTGTCGAGATTTCAATATGTTACTGCCTTGAAGGGAAAGTAAACTACCTATCGAGAGACTGTTACATTGACCAGTACTTGGATGAGATGCTGCTTTATTTTTAACTATCAACAGAGTTTATTACCAATAATTCCATTTTCATATTAGTTAATATCGGGAATCGGCAGCAGGCAATTTTTTTTTGTAAACAAGTTATGCATTTGTCAGGATTTACTAAGCTGAAAAACATAAATAAAATTTACAACTAGTTTATTTAATAAACTACTTGTTTTTAAGAATTCCCAATGAACATTTTTACCTGTCACAATTGTAACCTGTTGGACTGACATTATTTGAATGTTTTGGCTCACAGGGAGAATAACTTTGTGAATGTGTGTTTGATTTTTTTTGTCAGCTAAGAAATACAAAAGAGTAACTGGTAAAGAAATCTACTCAGAAACGTTAGAGAGCACACCCATGCTGGAAAAGGAGAAGTTTCCAAAAGATTATTTCCCTGAGGTAGGTTGCATGGTTTTGAGACATGAGACGCTTAAAGTCAATCTTGTAAAGTTCATTTGTTACTTTAGTTTTGCACCAATTTATTAGCATGTTAAGTTATTTATCTGTCTGTCAAATAGAATTTCCTGAGTGTGTTTTGTCAAAGGTGACATGTGAGGAGGTGGTGGATTTTCTACCGTTACTGTGTGAATTATTTTTATATATTATTTTTTATATATTCCACCGCTTTCAAGTTATGGCACTGAAGTACAGTAACTGGCAATGCTCAAGACCCCAGAGCACCGAGGTCATTTGACACAGTCAACATCACTTCCAGGTCATCAAATAACTCACTAAAGTTTCCTTAGGAGATCAGATGTTTTTGTGTTACAATATCTGCATGTGTACAAGGTATATTTGCATTGTATTTGTTATGTCTGCCACTCAGTATTTGGAATCGGAAATGGATTCTAAGACTTGTTTTGGCTCAGTACCCTTTTCTGTCATCCAGACTATACAACAATTCATTATATTTATTTCTTTACAACTGTTCTCAAAATCGGTCTCTATTTTAAAATACTGTACTGCACAAAGTCAACCTTTGTATTAACTCATATTATGTCGACGATTTCATATCATTGATGATTTCATATTGACATCAGTGACAGAAACAAATGTATAATAATTATAACCAGTAATTATAACAGAGAACACAGTTTCCATCTAAGTAATAACCTGTTCCGTTCTACGACTGACAGATATGCAAATGGTACTCTCAATTGGTTTAAGACTGATTTCTTTCTTTTTATTACTGCCGCTTAAAGCTGATCTAAAAGTAATTACATTGATTGAGGTATAATGCAATCCAAAATAATTACAATTCACTGCATATAAAACTAACAAAACTTTTCCTCATGATTTATTGCACCTCTTGGCTGTATATGAATCTCAAATGATGCCTCTGGGACCAGCACTTGAGATAATGTTCAGCTATTTAAAACGAACAGATTTGTGTAGTCTATCAGACCTGAATATTTTTTGCCAGTAGTGAGAAATTGGTTGTTGTCATACATCACAGATACTGCTCAAAGCTCTTATGAAAGATGAATTAATTTCACTAATGCTTTAATGTGAACCTTTCATGAACAAAGCTGTACAAGGATAACCTTGTAGGGATCCCTAGTTGCTTGATAGTGATTTATTTCATCTTTTAATAAAGGAAACAGCCTGTATATAATCCATCTATGGGGCATAGAAGGGGCACTGGTTGATGTGCAATCTATGGGATTTTTAACGTCCTGTTTTATTTTAATACTTTAGACTGGCAAAAGCTTCCGTGAATATATGTACCACATGGCATTAATGAATTCTTGAATAGATTAGTAATTTAGGTTTAAATTGCATAGGACCTATCAATTGGTCCTCTAAATAGCAGCCCTATAAAGATAGATTTGGAGGAAGAAAGCTACTCAAAGTGCGAAAAAGTCATGATTCTTCTGAATCAAGCAAAATGTTCTTTACATCAAGGAAGGTAGAGACAAGATTTAGAACTAGAACTTGTTAGATTTGGATTTTCCTTTTCATTTGTGTAGTGTAGGCTGGCGCTAGCTTTTCTGGTTCTGCAGCTAGCTTTTAGTTATTTTATCTCTTACTTACGATGCCTTCGCTCATATACCCAGCCTTTTTTCAGGCCTCTGTCACTCCAGGTAACAGGAGGTTTGTCTTGATCTGTGTCTTCTCCCCACCCCTCTTGTGGAGTCGCAATCAGCTTAAGAAGTCACCTTTATTGCCTGGCTAAAATCAAGAGCTTACAGTAAAACAACTTTGAAGAAGCCCTTGTAGTCTGTTACTCTCTGGGATAATGCATTGCTATGTCAACATTAAATACAATAGAATAGGGTCTGATGTACTTTGATTTTTAATAGCTGAATGTTTTATTTCTATTGAATATATTGCAGAAAAAAATATTTTTTATTTCTATAGCCCTTTATTGCATCAGAACATCTTCACAAGTAATTGCTGTCAAATGCAGTGACTTTTTTTGTAGTCAAGAAACTCTCTTCCATTTTTGAATAATACCATGTTTTTTGATTACCGGAACAGTCAGACAAGACCTTGGTTTAACATAACTTCCAAAACATGCCACCTCCAACAATGCGGTGCTCCCCCTTATTGCACCGTTGTGTAATCCTAAATAATGAGCTCAAGCCCCAATGTGAGGCTTGAATTTACAACCTGCTGCCCCATAGGTGAGAGACTGTTGCTTCAATTTGATATGAATCATACATCCATATCAAAGCATAGGATAAATAAGTGCAATTTCTGTAACACGAACTCTCTATAATAATGCAGTAAAGAAATCTTTATGACTATGAAAATGGCAAAGTTCCGGGTCATAAGATCGCCACGGATCCTGTGCACTGTGTGACATGAGAGATGCTGCGTTCAGTTAAGCACGTGGAATTAATTACCTGCTGACCTTTCAAACCTTTCAAAATTCAGCTATTATTGTAGTTCAAAATCATTTAAAATTTAGATATTTAATGATGGGAATCAAATTATCTCAATTTGAAGAAAATTGGAAAAGTTGATAAATACGGATTTTTACTGAGTAAAATCAGAAACCCACAAGTGTGCATATAATCATTTTGCAGTGTTAAAAAAAAATCGGTAACAACGTTTCACATTTATAAGATTAGATATATACTTCATGCCGTAATGTAATAGCAATGATGAGCCTGCATTCACTGTTGGTAAATAGTTTAGGCTGACATTAATTAATGCAGCTGGCTTTGCCTCATGTTTGAAGCAAACTGAGATGAATTATTGTTTGTTAATGCCCACTGCTGCCTTTGGTATCATTAAAATGTAGAGCAGGGTTACCATTTACTGGATACAGTTTTATTGTATCTGCATTAAACTGAAGCAGCATGAAAGCACTTAAAGATTTGGAACTAATTTTGACAAGAAATTGCTCTATTTATAATCACTGCTTTTATCACTCTCCTTGTCCAGTGTTTAGTTATAGAGGAGGATAAGGGATAGTTACATAATTTCTAAAACTTAGATGGCTTAGAAGGAAGCATGACTTGGTGCTGAATAACATTTGGAATATTCGGACCATAGTTAATCAGCAATTTGTATGGCTGTATGAAACTGTAGGCATTAATTCTATGCACTGATGTGATCAGTATCATCTGATACAACTAACGTTGTTAATTTAATGCATCAGCAGATTTAAAAATGAACGTTAACAGAGCAATGCTTCTTTGTAATGTTTACCCATTTTGATCATTTTCCTCCTTACTATCCTCCAAGGGACTGAATTCTGCTTCTAGAATATGAAACATCCATTGCACTTACTGCACTCAGGATTTGGAGACACTTTACATGCTTTATATGGGTCCTATACTTTACATGAATTAATAAAATCAGGATTAAAATGCTGGTGTGTTTGGGTGTGTGGGGGGGGGACCTAATTATAAATATTTCTTGATTAATAATTTACTGAAATACCACAAAATTTGCTTTGTGCTTTTCAGTAATTATCAAACACAAGGCTTATTATTATAATTATTTTCAATGGGAGTTGTCTGCTTTTGGCCTGATTTCTACAGGAGGTGGAGTTGGGGGGATGTGAACAAATGGATTGAAGACTTCCCTGTGACCACTGATGACATTTCAGCTTTACACATGGCTGAAAGGATGCGTTTTCAATGTGGAACAAGGATGGAAGAGATGTCAGTCCCCAACCATCTCTTCCCCTGCTGCTATCTCACATACATCACATATTTTGCCTCCTTAATGTGATCTGTCCAGCAGTTTGCCTGTTACTTGACCAAACTTGTCAATCTTGTGGATGGAGCACTGGGACTTGCACCTACGGTGGCTGATTTGTGGAGTAGGCATGGTAAATGCTGTGTTATCTAGCCACATGAGGTTGGCTTTTTTAAAAAATTTGTAACACAAAGTGTAACCACAGACATCACTTCTAATTGAGCCTGGTTCTTTTGTCATGCATTATATCATTGTATTCTCTTTAGGTGTTCCCATGGTTTGCTTCAAAAAATCATGCTGTTTTTTCAGAATGGGTATGAACTTTTTATCAGAACTGCTGGCATCTTCTTTCTTCCCTGACTTCCTTTGGTCAGTTGAATAAATTCCTGCTGTGCTGCTTTAATTTGATATGGTTTCTCTCAGCAAAATGATGGGCAAGATGAATTGAGACATTGCATTGGACATTATCAATCAAAGTTGTGTGCATTAGTTATTACTCACAGTGCATACTGACATTAGCCCTCTGTAACCTTTGTCTCCTTGTTGATGTTCCATAGAGGTTTTTACCCCATGTAGCTGATGTATTTATGTAAGTAGTGTTTATAGAGGTTCTTTAAAAGGTCAGTAAGAGCTTTTTTTTTAGCCTCGGGCCTACTTTAACAGTGACATTGCACATGACATATCTGAAACTCCTGTATCATCGCATGCTCGCCGACGATTAATGAGACACCAGGCAAACAGAATCTTAATATTTATATGCATTGTTTTCCATTTAGTTAAGTACTACTATGTGATTTTTAATTTGTTAATTCACTTTCCATTAATTTTTAAATAAACTTTAGGGTATGATGGGGTAGAGTAATTGCCCAGAAAGAATGACACTTCAACACACCCCTTCAGGCACTTAATCCATTATTTTATACCCATGTACCCATTTCCTATCAAGATTAATTTGTGGGTGATATGGCTGAGTACATGGTGTCACAAGATACTTATTAATTAATGCCTTCTGCTAGTTGAACTATCGCAAATGTAATAGTTTGATCAACCACTCTTTATTTAAGAGAAATATATCATTTCCTCTTTTTAAAAAAAAGACGAGACAGGAGTTTACAAAATAAGATTAAGGCTCTCTCAAAATGAATCTTTGGCCTAGGAATCAAACATAATCCATGGGGTGTACGGCAGGGAACATTTTCTAGGTTAATGAGAAAGCCATAATTAATGCAATGTCTATGTCAGGCCAGCATATTAAAGTGAGTGAGTTTCTGCTATATATTGCAAGTGAAAATCTAATATTCATAAGCAAATAGAGACTCCTGACAATACCTGGAGATCTGGTAAAAGGTATTCTCAAAGTCTTTAGGTGGGTTTGAAATGGAGAGGGAGAGGGGGAGAGAGGAAGCGAGGTGGAAGAATTTTGGAAGAGAATCCTGGCAATGTGGCTGAAATCTTGCCCACCACTAATGGGGCATGGGTTGGTGGGTATGAAACAAGACACTTTGTGACAGCAGAGGGGGTGGCTGGTGAAAAGGTATGGTGGAGCAATTTGAACGTAAGGATGAAAATTGGAGGGTTAAGGAGCCTGTGGAGTCGGGTGAGGATGTGGTGATTAGCTTATGGAGCCTCAGCGGGAGAAAATATGGGTAGCTGAGTTCTAAACAATCTGTATCTTGTGAAGACCCCAGCAGAATCCTAAGATCACAGTGAAATACTGTATATCCAGCTACCAGCAGAAGTTGCTATTTGCAAGTCATGTATTTGAATATTGCATTTAAATCCCATTGTGACATTATATAGAAATATAGAGATGTGATTAAATATAACGATGACTCATTTTGGCACTGATAAAAGCTTAGAAAACATGGCATATGTGGGGTTAGGCACCTCATTCTGTTTACACCAATCAACATGATTTGTACTTACAGACAGGATACTTTCCATCCATTCAATTCTGACCTGGAACTGCGGTCAGTTTTCTGACATTCTTTCGAAAAGTCCTTTTTTCTGCTTTAGGTACATAAAAATCATACAGCAAAGATGTACATCATTTACAAATCATGTTATTTGTTATTCACTCTCACTGCAGATAGCATGACTATTCTCTAGTCTAACCCCTCACAGGTAACGTTCGGACACTTGTCCATTTCAGGGAATAGTGTAACTCCTCCCCAGTATTACGAATAGAAGTTATGGGAACAGGAGCTGTGGGATCCAACTCATCACAAATGTGCTGAGTACTAAGTTTGAGTACCAGATGGGGCTTATAAAACAGCTCCATACCTCTCAACCTGTGGACCAAGCAAAAAGGGCACAGAGCATAACTTGGCCAGTTGAACCTGGTTGAATAACAGTATGACTAGCATCATATCCTTGCTTTTTCAACCAGTTCAACTAATTTGAACATCCAACATATTTGGTGCAGGCTCCCAGGCCAACACAAGCAGGCCAATATTTCATCCTCACCCAACTTCACCAAACAAGTTGGTCATTCATCTTATTGCTGTCCATAGAATGTTGCTCGCACATTTGCAACACATGCAAGTCACCATACTCCAAAGTAACGGGTGAAGTGTTTTGAAATGTGACAAGGAGCTGGATAAAATGTCTATGTTTCAATATTTAACTGAGAGGAAATGCAAGAATATTGCAACTGTATAGGGCTTTGGTGAGACCGCACCTAGAGTATTGTGTGCAGTTTTGGTCTCCTTATTTAAAAAAGGACATACTTGCCCTAGAGCGGGTGCAGCGTAGATTCACTAGGTTAGTTCCTGGGATGAGGGGACTGACCTATGAGGATAGGCTGAATAAACCAGGGCTGTATTCTCCAGAGTACAGAAGAATTAGGGGAGATCTTATTGAAACATACAAGATTCTTAAATTTATGGAATTCACTACCCCAGAAGGCTGTAGATGCTCAGTCCTTGAACATCTTCAAGGCTGAGACTGATATATTTTTAAAAAATAGAGGGATTAGGGGATATGGGGATAGGGCAGGTAATTAGAGTTAGGTCTGAAGATCAGCCATGATCTTATCGAATGGCTGGGTAGGCTCGAGGGGCCGAATGGCCCACTCCTCCTAATTCTTATTATGCTATATAATAAATAATATCATCTATAAGTTAGGTTCATCTCAGTTCTAATCAACTCTTATCAGATCTTCCCCAAGAAACTGGGGGAGGACATGTTCAATCGCAACCCTTTGCCTCAAATATAGCCAGGCCCAATGAGTTGCATGTGAGCAGTGCTTACCATAAAAGCTCCATTATAACAGCTTGCAGTCATACAAAGCTGTGATAATGAGGCGTTTATGGCAAGCCATGGACTGAACCAATCCCCACAATTAGATTTAAGTCAGCTTAACCGCAGAACATGGCCACTGACAGTGTGGCAGCTACTTCTTTGAGCTTCTTGTTTTGTTCTTTATATATATTTTTTATTTCCTTTGTAGGAATTGAGGAATTGATTACAATGTGTTTGAAAGAGTCTCAAACTCCAGGGTGAATTTAATCCATAACTACAGTGTTATTTTGTATTAACGTGCTCTTGCCACTTTCTGGCTTCTCAATAATATCCAGTATCCATTTTATTCATTGTGGAATTGGTAAACCAATTTCAGATAATTGCCTGTGTGCTTCATATAGTGCACCCATTCACAGTTATACTAACCTGTTATAATGCAGCTTTTATTTTAATTTTGTCTTTAGAGTTTTAATTGTTCTGTTACATTTTAGCATTGTGAATAACCAAGCTATGTATGCTATGTGTACTTTTTTTTCAAAAAGGAGAAAACGAGTACCAAAGCATCATTATTAACATTAATCCTTTATTCTACCCATTTTTGTTTTTTTAATGTAAGAATGACATCTTCTGAGAAACCAACTTGAAGGTATTTCGGTGTTTGACAAATGTGAGAGAACTGAATTTACATCAGTGGGAGTCACAGTCATTAACCTCAGATAGCCTGATCATGAACTGGATATGTTATTTGGCTCTCCTGTGCTGTTCGGCTCAGTAACTTTTCTGAACCATTTCGCCAGCACATGCTGCTCAATGACAAATAATATATGAAAATCATAGAACAAAACAAAGCAATATTAACCAAAGCTCTTTGAAACTATGATTTTAAAACCTGCCCTTGATGACGAGACTCATTAATTTCCTTGTTTCATTATTCAATTGAACATGATTGAATAATCCTGGAAGTTTTCTCTCCAGTTAAAAACATTGGGAAGGCAATGAAGCTAAAAGGGAATGATTTGTTACCATGTTTGGTGCAGCATAAGGATAAACACAGCAGGTGTTTTATAGTGTTTTACAATGTGATTTAACAGATTGCAATGTCTGAAATAAAACTACTAATAAAACTAGAATATTCTCCTATACATTGCTGATTTGGGAGCTGAAGTACTGTTAAATCACAGGTTAGATCTTGGGTCAGAGCTGAGTTCTTGCAGATCAGATAGGATTCCTTGGAAGATGCGCACATTTACTTTGGTTCTACCAGCTCAAGGTGCCATTTTCTCAATAAGTGCTTTCTCAACCCCAATTTGTAGTCAACTCTCAAAATTTATCAACTGCACCTATTTCAAGCACTTCAATATTTTCTTTAATGTGAAAGGTGCAATATAAACCCAAATGAAGCAGTGGGCAGTTGTCTACTTACGTTAAAAAAAACTGTCAACAAAATTGTGGTTGTTGAACGTGGGTTCTGCACATTCACATTTCCACTGTTGTGGGCTGAGTTTTGGTGGCAGTGATGTGGGCTTCGCTCCATTAGATCAAATTGGCCTTCTCTATTCTTTGAGTGGGCTTGCGCAGCACTGGAGAAATAAATATATGTGTTCGTATTGACTTGAGTTTCCAGTCTGCAGGAATACAGCTCAGCTCATTGACAAAGCGTTTATTGGTAACTGTTTACTAAATTAACGTTTTTTCCAATGAATGCAACCTGATTACACTAACTGAACTTTCAGGTTTAAAAGACTTTGTAATTTATAATTTGAAAAATAATTTAAAGCTGATGCTATTGAATTATACGGTAACTGTACTCACTATCTTTTTATTCCACTTTGTATTTGTATATATTGCTTGCTGACTTTTGCGCATCAAAGCATGAACAAAAGCAGGATGAATGTACGGACTTCATATATTTAATTTCATTACTCACCAGACATGATGGGCCAAGTGGGCTTCTTCTATGCTGAAAATTTCTACAATTCTTAGCAAGTTAACTCGAAGAGGTGATCACATGAACATGGCTTTCAAATAAGAGAAAGCTTCTCTTGAAAATGATCATCCACCAAATGCTTTAACTAACTGATTCCCACTGTACAGATGTGTTCAATGATCCCAGGCTGGTTTTAAAACACCTCTGGTCTTTTATCTTTAATTGCTGCTTCATTCTTAAGAGAAGCGATGATGCTTTTTAATTGTTTGGATTTTGACCTTTAAACACTGCAGAATACAAGCCCCTGTTCAGCATCCTGTGAATCTGTTGCCTCTCTGGACACCTATTCAGCAGAGTTATGGAATAATGCACAATATTTTGACAGTATAAAATGAGTCTTCCTTTTCCTTGTCAGTTTTGTGTAACTGTTTGTGTTGAGGTATGTTGCAGTTGCATCATCACTAAGTGTAGTGAGTGTGAGGTGATTAATTTCCTTCCAGAGCTGTTACTTTCCTTCCATCTAGTGGAATGAACTGCGTGTGATTACAGTGATTTATAACCAAAGATAAATTATTGCTGCACAAATAAATCAAATGCCTTTTCTCTTCTGGTTCAGTAATTTTCCTCTGCATTTTGATAGTCTTCAACTGTGCTTATGTTATAAATGACATTTACAATACTTCTGATGGGTTGAGATTTTACTTGGAAGAAACTAACTCATGTTGAATGTTTAAGGTTGGGTTTCCACACTGTGGATAGTGCATTTTGTTCCTCTTTGTGATCTGAAATTGACACTTTCCTTGTTTATTTTTATATTAATAGTCTAAATGGTCCAGGAAAGGCTTCATCAGAACACGGTGGAGTGTCACTGATTGGTATGTTTCATTGTTTTTATTTTTTAACTCTAAAATTAATTTTAGCTTATTTAATTGTATCACAGTTACAGGTTGGGTAGTGGTGTGATTTTAACCCACTGACATTTACCAATCATTTGCTCACCACTTGCTGCATTGCATGTCCTTGAAAGCTGCATTTATGATTGAAAGGGTTAATCCATCAGCTTTGATCCTGTTCTGCATGTTTTACGTAAAGTATCTAACATTTTCTACCTCATTTTTGTGCGTTTGATTTAGAAGAATTCTAGTGCATTAAGTGCGGTTCAGATTACCAAATCAAGAAATCCTTATAATTTCACTATTTGGCGTAGCTGATGTATTCTGCTGCAAGACTCACTTTATTGGCAATGCTGCTGGTCTCTCTACTGCCAAAGTTTCTACTTTAATCTGTCTGCTCTGGCACTTCAATGCTTGATCTGGGAGGTGGATTCTTCTAAGCTATTGTACAGTTATTTATGTGCCTTTTCCGTCTTGTTCTCTTTATCCCTGACCATTCCAAGATCACAAGATTGGTTTGGATTTAGCCCATCTGATCCCATCCTAAATGAATGTGCACCCTACCATCCTCCCAGCACAGCATCAAGCTGCTTTTTAAATAAGTCCAGTGTCCTGACCTCAGCCATCTTTCCTGGCAACAAGATGAAGTGCTTCACAACTGTGAGGGCCTCCATCTAATAGCTTGGCCAAGAATCAGAATCCTAACATAATCGTTAAGATTTCCATATTAATGAAAGCTTTAGCTTTTCCTGGCTACTGGACTAACAATATGTATGACAGACTAGTCACGGAAATATTTTAGCAGAGTTTTTTATTAGAAATAAACATCTTGTTAAGTCTGTCCTTGAGTCAAGTTATATAATTTGTTCCAAAAGCATTCAGTAGATTTACCATAAATCTAAATGTTTGAAAGTGTATCAAAAAAATTTAATTTAAGGTTTTTTTTGATGCTTCCAACAAATATGAACTTTATGTAAGACAGCATGGGAAATGTTTACTTTTGTATTATTTGCTGCGAAACTAATGCAAAACAAGGAACGCATCTGTATTCCATTTTTCTTTGTGTTGCTGAATATACACAGTGCAGAATTGGGCAAAAACAAGAAGCTGCAACCCTTGATTGACAGCAACCCCTTGTAAATTTTGTTCCTTGAACCCTTTGGTGTCAGATCAAAGCTGCTGCTTTGAAGTCAAAAGAATCACATTCAGCAATAGAAAATACATTCTAAAAATGTGGATTGTTTTTAATGAAAACGGTAGAACCATGCCCAAATCTAGCAGCCATAAAGGACCTCAGGGTTTTCACCTAATACTAATAATCCCAAATGTGGTAGAGCTTTTAATAAACTGACTTGCTCATTTTTTATCGGTCAAATTGCCAACAGAACGATAAAGCACATTCACTTGAGATTTTAAACATTTGTACGTGCTTCAGTAGTTTTTCTGTCAATAACGTACATTTTAGACTGAATAGTTTCCTTCAGCTTCAAAGCTATCATCTGTACACCAGCATTGTTAGTACTAGAGGTACAAGTAATGTAATTTGAACACATTCACGTCATCACATCTACCTTATCCACTGATTTGTGAACATAAATGTGTGTGTTTTAAATCTTACTGTCATGTAATGCTAATTTCACCACATTGTGCACAGTTACTGTCCATTTAGGTAGAGGAACAGAATGAACATAAAGGGAACTGAAAATAAGATTAATCAAAGATCATTATTTAATTATGACGTAGTAATTTGTTTATTTTTAGTGTAGTTTATTTCTGAAAAGCTAACTGTTATGTTGTTTAATAAATATCAATCAGGCTATTTCTACAGAAACCTGCTTTACTGATCTTGACTTCAACAGTTTATCCTTTGATTTTCTGTTGTTGGTACATGGGATCAGATGTTCACACAATCATTCTATATCCCATGCAGATCGACGGAAGAAATCACTTAACACTTGAATAGACAATAGCTTTCACTCTTTTTAAATGTGGCTGGGTTCCTGCCTCTCCCCCCCACCCCGATTGCTTTCCTCCTCTCCCCCCTCCCTCCCCCATCTCACCTCCTGAATGCTGAATTATCGTTCAGTGATTGCTAGCAGTTACCTTGTGGCTCATCCATTCTTCAATGGGGACTTAATCATCCACCTACAGTGATTGTCAATGGACTACTTTTTCATAGTGGTGGAGGATTGAAGGTGCATTGCAGACCTCACTCTATGTGCACACAATTTCCAGCTGGAGTTACTCTACATCCACCAGAAACAGAAAACCTGGCTGATTTTGTTACCTTGTCCTCCAAGTGGTTCAGGGTGGTGTACCCCTCCCCTATTGTCAATCTGAGAAAAAAAACATTGGGACAAAAAAGAGATCAGATCTGGGATCTCCAAAGAGGAGTGCACCAGTATATTTATACAGTGAGCCACTGAGGAGCAGTGCCTCATGTCTTTGTGTTTAATTAAAGAATAAAGTTGATTTGATTCTCTATCATGGGATAGAAGTTCATTTTAGGAAGAAGTTTACAACAACACAACTTCCATTTATATAGCGCTCCTCACACAGGGTAGCATCTCAGAGCACTTAAAGCTTGAAGAGTTTAAAGCCTAACATTAGCAGCCCATTGATTTATTTTAGGTGTTACTCCTGTTGGTCCCGAGTATGTTATTTGGAAAAGACATTTCTATGCAGATTTACTTATGTCCTTAAAATATCCATTGCTCTGTTTATATTTCCACATGGAAAATATGTGATATTACACTGTGCAGTACAAACAGCTATTCCCTGTTTGGAATTTGATGTCGTAAAAAGAAACCAACACTTGGACTTCCAATGCCCTTGGTAGCTGAGGCTATTGTGAATTTTGATTCCTGCTAATATTACTGTATTTGGGATTCATTGGTTTGCTTTTCCTTTTTTATTTTGGCTGAACAATACTACTACAGTCCTCAGCTTCAAATCCATTTCGTATGATACTGTTGCAAGGTGCAGGCTGTAAAACACTTAAAATAATGAAGCTTGGTTTTACAGATTTTTAATAACACTTAGTAAACTAATACACAAAATGGCACTTCCTTATGATTGTTTTGTTCTCCTTTGGAAGCTGCTTTCTAAAATCTGGATGTGTAGATGTATTATTTGTTTTTCATGGATTAGATGACAATAACATTCAATATATACGGTGTCAGTTGACAGGTATAATGAGGTTCCAGCTGCATGGTGATGGATATCAGAGTTTACTTACTTTGTATTGTTTAAAAGCAATTCTCCATTAAAACGACAGTGGCAGCATGCTTAGTAAGCAAATATGAATATTGTCAAGGAGAATGGGAGACCTCACTATTGTAACAGTTTTGCCGTAATAGTAAATCCCAGCATTGGCATAGGCCTTATTCAAAACAAAATGTTTTTGGACAGGTTGCTATTATTGAAGCTTGATATGCAACATTTTTAAAAATTCTGTCATGATCATAACAGTTTTTGCATGATGATTCACTTGTGTGATGGTTATTTTCTTGACAGTGCCTTTGACTTGGTGAACATTCATCTTTTCCATGATGCTTCCAATTTAATTGCTTGGGAAACAAGCCCATCTGTCTACTCAGGAACACGGCAGAAAGCTCTCAGTTTTGTGCTGGATAGGTAAGCAGACTATCCATTTGATATTTTGTACTGTGAAACCAGGTTATTTAATGGATTAATGGATGTTGAGTGAGTTTGGTGACCACTTGAAACGAGTCTTCACTGCTTATGTACTCTTAAAAATGGAATAACTAAATTAAGTGTTGTGTGCGCATGAAGTGTTTAATGGGTCCCCTTTTTCATGGGTAAGTTGGCAAAACATTATTTTTAAAAAAAATATATACTATGTTTAAATAATGCTGAACTTATTAATATTGTATTTATACTCTTTGATAATATGTTGCAAATCCTTTATCCATGGAAATTGGATTTGATATTTCGTATAACATAGCCGAATTGTCCGTTTAAAGATTACAAGGTCTCAAAGTCATGTTGGCAAAATTTGATTTGTGTTTGTTCTAACCCTAATCAAAAGTAGGTACTAAATACAGGATATATTGTTAACTGATTTACAAATTAGTTTTGAGGTCTGGCAAATAACTATTGCATAGTTTCTTATCTTTGGAAAACACAATATGGAGTTGATTTCTGTTGAAACCCATTTGGATTTTCAAAGCCAAAAAAAATTGACTGGATGTATAAAGTAATATGACTAATGGACTACATTAAAATTAACAGCAAGGGATGCATTAAAATCTGGATTGTTGGCAAGAACTACTTTTGTCCAAGCATATCTTAAAAAGGTTCAGCTATAAAAAAGCTATCTCATAATCATCAAACTGCAATCTATTTCAAAGGGATCCTTAAAATGCTTTATAGTTTAAGTACAGAACAGGACTGTTAAAGTATAAGAAGTTTACCTTATTTTAATAATTTGCTTCGAGATTATTTGTCCTATCCTGCATTACCCCATACTTTAAGGGGGCTTGAGTCAGTCAAGTCTGCAGTGGTCTAAGGTGCCATTGATGAACGACCAAACTACATGACTTATCACTGGGCTTGATGAAATTATTCTTCCCGAATCGCGACTGAATACAACACCTTATTGTATGGTGAACCTGGTGAAACAAGCAATGCCCAGCAGTGCTTTTTGTTTTATACTGTTAAAGCTACATGCATTTTAGCTGTGTCATTTTCAACAATGTGGACTTTGGTTTCCCTGATACTTTAGCTTTGATGAATCATGTTTGTTTTTTTCTATAAAAAACTGGCTTATGTCTCCACAGGTAGAAAGTGCACATTGTAGAAATAGCAGACAAACTTTTATAGGTTTTTTGCTGGCTAGAACTAGCGACATTTAAACATGGCAAAGGATTCCTGTACAACCGAGGCAACTGAATGAACAAAAGAATGCTTAAGCAAAGCACTGTAAATATACTCTATTCTACTCATATTTGCAGCAATAGGTATCCAACCTGTATAGAAGTAACAGATGGATTATTTTGTATAATGGCCACATTAGATAGTTTTAGGCCCCATTTCCTGTACAAGAACTCTTTCTTTCAAATTAGAAATTGTTTTCAAAAAAAATCCTTATTTCTGTAGCCTTCTTCATTTTCATAAAATGATCTGTTAGAGCAGACTATAGCAATTCAATTCACCATTCTTCGAGTTCTAAGTATATTGGAGAAATAAATACTGTTGAAATTAATCATGGGCTGTCTTTAAGAATCATAATTTATATCAAGACAATGGCTTTTTACATGTTTCTGTTCAACCATCTTCATGGAAGTCACACATAATAGTTCTTCGGTGAACTGTGATCACATGAGACTGGGAAATACAATTAACTGAAACAAGTAGGATGGATTTGGTATCATTATTGTATGCAGTTTTTGTTTGCAAAGCATAAATGGTCATTTTAAATCTGTAGCCACTTAAGTAAATGGTCGCATCAAGACTGAAATCTATTTTCATCCCACTGAAGGTTACCAGTCTTTTCTAGCATCAAACTTGGCACAGAAGGTACTTTTATTAACTATGTTTGAGTCCATTATTAACAGGATAAAATAGTGTTACACTTAACTAGTGCCTCGGGATGTCCTTCCGACGTGAAAGGGGCTGTATAAATGTAATTTGGTGTGGTTGTTAATGCTTTTCAGCTTACAAGTAACATCCACCGTTTTTGCGGATAGTTTACCATTTAATATTGTCCATGATTTCTCATGATTTTACATGCCAGACCAGTTTCCAAGTGGTCTTTGTAGCATGTGGGTACTTGACACAATATTTGCAAAAATCAGAGAATGAATTTATTATAATAATAGACTGAAACTGTATTTCAATCAGCTAATTGTCCTATTGCTTTCAATGATTAATGTATAAATCTTACAGGCTAATGTAGATCAACATTCAATTCCTACCAGGAGCAGCAATAGTTTTTTTTAAACAAAATGTGCTGTTCAGCAAAATCACTCTAATAAGCATTTCTATTTGAACCAGAAATTGGTGCATCCAGGTTAATTATGGTTCAACGAAAATTGCTTTTAGGTGATTTACTTTTTTCCCATTTTCTCCCCTTTTCTCTCCTTTATTAAAGACACCGTGTCTTTGATGAGGTATGGGTCCACAAAGTACGTCATCCAAAGTGGTCATTCTTTATGTGTGATTTCTGGCAGGCTCTTCAAGCGTGGGTGAGTCTCTGCATTGTAAGCTCCTTGAACTACCCTCTGACGATGCAACCTGTGGAACAGCCAGAAGGAGGTGCTGGTTAAGCATTTCATTTGTACTTTATTGTACAATAGCCAAGTTGGATTCTGGGTTTGAGTCAAGTGAGATCTTCTAGCTCTAATGCACTCTGATTTTTTTTATAGCTGCACAGAGTGAGTGTTCACTACCAAGTGTATTTTTTTTATCATTTAAGGCAATGAAAGGTAGCCTGGGAACAAGCGATTCATTGTACATTCTATGCATTGATATGTATCTATAGGATGCTTCTAAATGTTTACTGATGTTATGCTGCTTTGCAGTTTATGTTACAAGCATCATCTGAATAAATAGTTGAATGAGCAGGAATGATTAAGCTTACAAAAATAGATTTGCTGTTAGTTGTGGCATTTTTATTGAGGAAAAACAAAACGTTCAGTGAAATTCTGCTGTTTTGAGCAGAAATCAATAAACTGGATTGCGTAGTTTTGCAAATGCTCTAGTTGTACTGCAGGACTTGGTGTGGTAGCTTAGTGAGAATGGTGTAAGTAATCAGTAGCACGGTTCTGCTTGCTTGCACAGTTGTGGAACACAATAAAGCAGAGGAGAGTGCGCAGCAGCTAACACCATATCTACAGACCTGCTCACAGGGCTCTTGGCTGACCGACGTTTTTTTTTAAAAAGTCAGTGATTAAAAACAAGGTGATGGGATAATCAGCTCTTTCCTTTCCTGTGAGTCCTCCCGGTGTCTAACGTCAACGTTTAACATGTTGGCTGAGTCCCAACTGCAGCTGTGGAATGCTAGTGGTCCGAGACTACACTTTCAAGGTGGTCTGCCAGTTTCAGCCGTAGAAAGCCGCAGCGTTATACCACCCATCTGGATTGCTGAGATGTAAAAGAGCAAACTGCTTGGGGAGAGCAAATGGGGAGTATAGCTGCAGTCTGTTATTATACGGAGGGGGTTCTAATAATAGAGGTGCGGCGTGGTGATACCTAGGAGATAGTAGATGATCCTCTTGAGAAGTTCTTGAGAATAAATGAAGTAGTATCTTAAGGATGGCTCAAAGATTTCAAGTGTATGAGCAGAATTGTTAAAGATTACAAAAGGTTAATTGACAGTCTGGAAAAGTGTTGGTGTGCGCAGAAGATGAGGCTGTCGTTTTTTTTAAACAAGCGGCTACTATCACTTGGGATCTCCCACAATGTACTGGGAGGTTTGCAGTATGCTCTACTATCACTCAGAAGTTTTATAATGTATATGATTAGAATGAACAACACCAAATCTGGCAAAATCATTTGTCTTTGAGGGAAACTAGATTTTATGTTGTGCCACCATTGTGGGCTTCATTTGCACAAATCAATTATTCTGACTGATCATCCAGCCACAGATCCGGACCTCCATCATGAACGGCGGCAGGAAGGCATAATAGGAAAGCTCTGTAGAGCAGTGAATAATGGGAAACTCCTTTCATCAGTGCAGCTAACCTTTTGGCAGCCACCAGCAAACTCTATTCTGATCCACTGATAGAGGAGACAATACACTGGGCTCAGTTTGAATGAATGCTGCCACCAACAGTGTAGCCATTCAGAGGGTTTTGGGAACCATCTTTGGCCATTGTCTATCATTACTCTTGCCGACAGTAAGGAAAGAGAAAGTGAGAGCATCTATGGTGTAAACCTCTTTTTCAGCTTTAATCTCTCTTAAAAGCTGTGTAGATCTACATTTCCAGCCGGGCTACAGTAGCTATGTGATGTCAGATAATCACAGAAGAGAAGTTTCAAGCTGAGCTTTTGAATTACTTCTCTGCATGAACCAGGCCGGCTTTAACCCCCATTCAAAAAGTAGCGATTGTCTTTTCTCAAGCCTTTCAACTTGCTTAAAAGCATGTTTAGGGCTAAAACGTTTCTAGCTAGTAGTGTATACATAAACAGCACTGAAAGAAAGTGTTTTAAGGTAGATCAGTAAGCTTTAATTCATTTTGTATTTACTGAGGCAGTCTTCTTTACAGATTCTGCATAAGATCAGAGCCTAAAATGTTCTGCTTCCTGCTGGATTTCTGAACATTGACTCAGTTGAATGTTCTTGACATTATTTTAAAACCTTTTTTTTAAAAACTGCAATACATATTTAAAGGGCCACTGAAGTAGAGGACATGGGTCTGAGAAATGACCCTGCAAGCTGGATAGTTTGCTCTCTCACCTGCGATCTTGCTGCGTTCTTGTTTAATTCTGGTAACAGTCCTGGACACTAACGTGCTTGGATGTGCCAACCATTGAAACTTGTCCTGTGTATTCAGGTCTGTGTAGCCAGATTTCTAAAAGTGACAGTACTCTTCTGTTTGCCTTTTGAAATGTTCTCTGGCCTAGTTCAACTGCAACATTTTTACATTACAACTGTGAAATCTTGGCATAAA